CTCTTCCCCTTCCCGGGTTTTTTAGTCCCCTCCCTACTCTCACTCCCCCCCATTCTTCCCGGCGCGCCGCGCCGTGCACACCGCTGCGCTGCGCCGCGCCCGCCGGCACTGCGGAACGGGAAAGTGGGGCACGGCGATGCCCTGCCGGTAAGAACCGCTTCTTAATCTTTTATTTCGCGATTCTGGGTTTGCGATGGGAGGCGAATCCTCCCCGCGTGTCCGGCAGAGCCCCCCGCGTGCAGCGGTTGCGGATGGATGCCGACATATTGCGTCGCGATAGTCTCTTCCCCGCGTGCAGCAAATGGAGGCGTCGCGATCCCGAAATAGATGCAGTTTCTTTTCTGGGAATGCCTTTGTCTCGCTTTGTTCTGCGCTGGATCAGCCGCAGCGCCGTGGTGCAGTGTCCCTCTTTGTTAGCAGGATTCCATACGGCAAGGCGCAGCCCCGTGCTGTTGGGGTTGGTTTTCTTTTTTTGGTCTTTTTCTTCCTTTTTTCTAAATCTTCTTTTTTTTTTTTTCTCCTTTTTTTTTTTTTCTTTTTCCGTTTCTTTCTTTTCTTCTTCTTTTTCTTTCCAAGAAAAGGCGTGGGGACGCGGGATGCCTTTGCAGCGGGCGGTTAGTGCTGTGTAATTCATGATGTCATTGTCCTAATAAAGCGCCTTTCTGCCGGGCAGCGCTGGCGTGCATTACGAAACGTGATGTAAAGGCACGCCATGCGGACGGGCTGAGCCGGGTCGGATGTCGGCTGGGCGCGATCCGCTCCCGGCGCGGCCGCTATTAAAGACGAACGATGCCGCACGCCTCGAAATAACCTTCTTTTTTCAGGTTTTATTAATATTCTTCCCCTGTTGCAGCGCTGCCTGTGAATGAGAACCGTTTTTTTTTTTTTTTTTTTTTTTTTTTTTCCCCTTGCTTAGGATGGTTTTATTTCCTTTTTAAACGAGCCTCCCCCGTAGTAGCAGCACTTCCCCGTCGGTGTCACGCGGAACACGAGCGGACGGCGTTGAGCATCCGGCGAGGAACAGCACACGGCCGGCGCAGAACGAGCCTGGGCTTGGAGCAGTGCTGAGAGGGCTTGGGGAGAGGATTGTAGTGGAGCTCCATCCCCATTCCACTCCTAGCAGCTCTCTGGCCATCCACCCCCGCTGCTGCCGGCCGAACCACGGAGCCGTTTGTCCGCCGAGCCCTCGGGAGATGAAGGCGTGTCGGGTGGGCTCCGGGCAGCCGAGCTGAGGCTGTTAAACTGCCGGCTCGGCTCCCCCGCCGCCCCCCGTCGCCTTCCTCCCACCCGTCCCCTTCCCCGGCTCCTCCCCGCAGCCCCGTGCCGCGTGGTCGCGATGTGCGGCCGTGGGGAGGGGAGCGGTGGGAGCGGGCGTGAGGCGCTGCGAGGGAACCCGGTGCGCGTGTGTGTGCGTGCGTGTGCGTGCGTGTGTACGGGGGGGGTTGGGAGGGGGGGGTTGGGAGGGGTTGTGCTTCGTTTCTTAGCCATTGTTAAACGGAAACCGACGCGTGCTGTTGAATGCTGAAACCTGACGCTTGGTGTAGGGGAAACTTCACCAGCAAGTGTAGAAATGCGCCGGGGCGGGGTGCGGGTGTATGGAGATGGCTTTGCATTTGTATTGTATGTTCTTGGAAAAAGCGTTTATAGAGAAATGGAATCGGTCTGTAACGGCTCGTGTGAAATGCAATTAAATGTTAGTAAAGCTGCTTGCAAGTATCACTCGCTTGCGTTGTGTTTAACGCGGTAGTTCTTTGCAGGAAAAGGAAAAAAAACACGAGGTTTTTCTTTCTGTTAGCGCCCGTGCTTGAATTTGACTATCTCGTCTGTGGAGACTGTGGCAAAGAATTCATGGACTCGTACCTAATGCAGCACTTTGATTGGCCCACGTGCGATAATTGCAGGTATTGCAGGCAGTTGGGCGAGCCTTCATTTCTTTACCTATCCTTCCCATCCAAAGCGTTGTCAGCACGGAGTTTTACCGTAAAAAAAAAAAAAAAAACCCGACAGAGAGGAGGTGCGGCGCTGACCTTTGTGTCCCGCGTTGCGAAAGCTGGGAGGTGGCGGAGCTGCCCCACGGGCGCGGCACTGCGGGGTGCGGGGAGCCGGGCTGCGCGCTGAGTAACGCCGGCCGTGCGGGGGGGAGGGGTGCGGTGCCGCATGGCGGCGTGAAGGTGGGGTGCGGGGTCCGAGGGGGGGATGGGAGGGAAGGGAAGGAGCTTTGCTTCGGGAGGGGGAGGAAGGGCACAGCGGGGCAGGCCGGGAGCTGAGCCTGGGGATGATGGGGGTGGGGATAGGCTCAGTAGGGGACGCTATCGGTGAGCCCCATCGCGTCCCCTTAGAGAGGGGGAGAAAATGCTGGAAGAGCCGCGGAGATGGCTGGGGTAAAAAGAATCAGCCAACCACCGTTTCAGTAATGAATGGGTGGAGAATAAAAAGATGGCTGCGGGAGTTTCCGCGGGCAGGTAGCCACGTGCAGCTGTAGAAGCGGGGAAGAGGTTGGTGAGAGCGGCTGGGCGGAGGGACTCCGACCGCCTTCCGTTCCGCTGCTTTCCGGGCCGTGAGCCCCGAGCCGTGCGCGGTGCCCGGCGTTGCGGTCGCGCACGCGGTTCTGCTTTTGCTGCCGGCCTGCGGCGTCGCTTCCTGCTCCGCACCGAGCTGAACTCAGGACAGGATAATGCGAATTTTTATTTTATTTGTTATTTTATTTCTTATTTTTTGCCCTTAATTGACGAATGCCGCCGTGGGCAGACAGCTTTTCATCTATCTGTACGTTTTTAATGTTTCCAAGTTTGGGTTTTTTCTCGCTGCTCTGTGTCTGGCGGTGGGAAATGCTCAACATTTGGGATCCGGAGGCACTCGGCGCGCTCTGTGACTCGGCCGGTCGGCCTGGTTCACGTTCCTTATCTCCCGGCCATGTGTTGGACTCGTGCTTTTGTCCCCTGAATCGCTCCCGGCTTTGGGAGGAGCGCCTGAAATAATTTGTAATGTCGTGGAGCCGGGGGTTAAACGTTCCTTGTAAGAAAATAAAAATCAGAGAAGAAAGCTTTTCAGGTTTCAGACAAAAGACGCTCAGTCTGTTGGCTGAAATGGGACTCGGTCCCGGGAAACCTGTCCTGTAGTTCAGCTGGATCCTCGGAACTCGCCATGAGCTGCATGCATAAAAACGGAGGGGATGGTTGGGGGCTGTTGCTGCGCTGGAATTTCAGGAATGCATGCAGTCTTGATGGGAACTTGGGAGACTTAATAGTGCTTGGTTTTCCTGGGCAGCTTTCTCATTGTTACTTTACATCTTTCAGAGACGCTGAAGATAAACATAAGCTCATCACAAGGACAGAAGCAAAAGAAGAGTATCTCCTGAAGGACTGTGATTTAGATAAGAGGGAGCCGGTGCTTAGATTCATTGTGAAGAAAAATCCTCATAATCCTCGCTGGGGCGACATGAAGCTTTACTTAAGACTGCAGGTATAGAGAAACCTGGGTCGTTTCCAACTCTTTTTTACCTCTGCCTGTCTTTGCCAATAACCCAAATCTGCAGCTTCGGTTCGGGTTTCCGAACCCTTTGCTAAGGGTGGGAATGTTCGTTCCAGCTGTGTAAATTCTCTCTGTGGTCGAAGTAGAGACGTGGGGTCCAAACCCACGTGTGAGAGCATTGTCAAAGCATCCGGCGTGCAGATCTGCCTGCCTGTCTCCGCTTGAATTGCAGCTTAAATTGGGGTGAGCTTGCCCACCTTTCACCGTGGAAGGAATGTTCAGGTTTGGGAGTCTGTGTTTCCAAGGCAGAGGGAGGATTCGCTGGCGGTGTGTGTAAATTACACTCGGGGGTGAGGTGCTCCTGTCGTTTCAGGGCAAAAAGAAACACGTCTGTGTCCGTCCTGTAGGTAATCAAACGTGCTCTGGAAGTGTGGGGCAATGAGGAATCCTTGCAAGAAGCAAAGGAACAGCGCCGTGACAGCAGAGAGAAGATGAAACAGAAGAAGTTTGATAAGAAAGTGAAAGGTAAATGGGTAAACTTTGATAACGCAGTACCTAAAGCAGTTCTCTGTCAGTTCATTCCTCCATCTGCCCTTTCAGTATGACAAAATGGAGGTCTGTCATGGCCTGTGGCACTGAGCTGGGAGCAGTCTGGTCTGTTCTCAGAGCTGACCAGAGATGGATTACAACAAACAGAGCGTTACAGAGCTTTTTAACTTCTTTGGTATCATGCACAGTGTGCCTTACATGTTCCCAGCTCGTGTTTTTTCGTGGTTATCATCCTTACTGTTCCGAGTTAACATTTAGGAGAGTTTTCAGCTGGACTAATTCTGACCAATGCTTTCAGCTCTGACATGCTAGCTGTTTTTTAAGACTGCAACTTTTGTTTCTTAGCCAGAGTCTGCACTGCCCATATTGTGCCTACTCAGCTCCAGGTTCTCATTCACCGAGCCCAGAGGAGGCAGAACATAGGATTGAGCAAGCATGGGAATTGCAGCAGACTGCAGCCAAGATGGTGGAGTGCAGGGCAAGGACAGGCCTTAACTTGACAGTGGTTGCACCCTGACTGACTTGGTTGAAAACGTTACCACCCTTTGCTGCTTAATATTCTTGCTACCCACTTTCAGCATGCAGATCTGCGCCCGGTTCGGTCGCAGCTTTGCTGCCACAACTGCACACCCAACTCACACTGCAGGGCATCAAGCTTAGGGAACACGCTGTGAGCAGAATGGAAAGCTCTTCTCAGTCCTGTAAAAAAAAAAAACAAAAAACCCAGGAGGTGGCTTTACAAAAGTGTTTTTTATGGAACGTTCCATCTCACCTTTCTAGATGTCATTCAAGGGCAGCACTTAAAAAGGCAGTGGGCAATGTGTGCTCCCTCCAGATAGAAAAACTCCTGTGAGATAATTCCCATGGTAGCTCCCATCCTTTAAAATCATGTAAACGAGGTGAGGTTACGTTGGCTGCAAGGCAGATCAAAACTTGTTCTTGCAATACCAGATTTGCCTTCACATTCGTGGAAGACAGTCAGCTAACAGACTGCCAAAGCGCAGGCCTTGGAAAGGTGGGTGGCTTGAGTTTTGTTAGCTGACACGTCAGAACCCTCAAAAAATCTTAAAATTTCCTCATCAGAGCTTCGCCGTGCAGTGAGGAGTAGTTTGTGGAAGAAGACAGCTAATATCCATGAACATGAATACGGACCAGAAGAAAACGTTGATGAAGAGACATACAAGAAGACGTGTACTATATGTGGCCATGAATTAACTTATGAAAAGATGTAAAACGTTAACCTGTTTGTTGAAGTTCATTATCATCATTCTTAATCCTATTCTTTATTAAAGAAATGGCACTTGGGAACAAGCTGTTACCAAGCTCCATGAATAATACAGGCAGTTCTGTGCAGAAGAAGGTAAGACTTCTCAGCTAGATCTTGGGGTAGAGCGTGCACATTTTTAACAGGCTGGAAATGGCCGCCTTGTGGGATGAGAAGTTGGCATTTTACACTCATTTTACATGCTGGGGAAATTTAAACAAGGTAAATTTCCCTCTACGCTTGCTTCAGCCAGAGCTGAAGGAAGTCTCTGTATTTGCTCCAGCTGTTAGCTGATGTCAGCTCCCATATGTCTCAGGCAGCCAGTTCCTAAGCACTGCCCAAGTGGTCAGAGTGTGCCACAAGGCTGCTTCTACCTGCAGGTGAAAATGGAGATCTCCAACTTGATGGAGGGAGGTTTCCTGTTTCAGGAGGGTTGTCAAAGGAAAGCACTGTGCTGTAACATTCAGTCAGGTTGCTGCCGTGTTCTATACTGTGAAGGTTTAAGTATCCTTTACTGATTTCTTTTCAACTTTTGGACCAAAAAGATGACTCTTCAAGTAAAAGCGTATCTTCATTTACCATTCTGGTGTGTGTGAGTGGTTTTCTGGTAAAAACCTATTGGTGGGCAAGTGGGGAGAAGCATTCCAGGGTAGATCTGTCTAAACTGAGCCGAGTGTTGTTTGTTTGCACGAGAGGTGGACTTTGGTCCAAGTTCAAATTCCTCAGTTTTTCAGATCTTCACTGCTCTTACACAGTGACCAGGGAACGCTCTACCAGCTGTTCTGTATTTATTCACCATGAAATCCAGTGAGGCATGAGGGGAGCCAGGACCCCCGTGGCTGTGCAGCACTGAGACAGGGCAGGGAGGAAGGCTGGTGGTTCTGCTGACAGACCTTCACTTATTCACAGCTCTCCCATGGTCTGCAGATCACCAATGGCAGAGGGTCTTCTGCAGGAAAGCAAACGTGTGTGGAGTTGATTAGTTACCTGGAAGGCAGGTGGAAGGTTGTGGCAAGGCTTTTGGAGGAAGGCTCAAGGCTTCTCAACATGGCAGGCCCACCAGGCTGCATGTGCTGAGAGTCCCAGGCCTCCCCTGCAGCTTGGGGCAGGAATGGTGTTGTGCAATGGCTGCTGAACAACCTGCCTCCCTGCAGGCTGTGATGGTCAGCCCGCAGCAAACACCAAGGGTCCACCCTGCCCCATAACACAGCACACCCCAGAAAGGAGGTGGGGGCAAAGGAGAGGGAAAAAATCTGTGCCAGCACGCTCCTGGCACCAGGCAGCACGCAAGTGTGCATCACTTGGCTGTGCACACAGGGGCAAGTTTGTTAAGATAGCCCATAGCATGCAGATGTACAGGTGTGTGTCAGCATACCAGCAGTGGGACAGGGGAAACAAAAGCGCTCCATAACCGTCTGCATCTCGCAGCAGTGTAACTCTGCTTCAGCAGCTCCCCACAAAAGGTAGGACAAACACAGCAGTAACCTGCTTCACCTTCGTTTATTTTTGACTTTAATAATTGTGCATTTTTTTTCCAACCACAGCACATTTCTACAGCACCTTTACACTATTCACCATCCCATGCTTCAGTGGTTAAGCTAGCTGCCTGCTGGTATTGCTGTTCAAGCATCTCTTTCTTCCTATACACCAACCAGTTTCTCAGGTCAGGACAGATGTATGCTGCTGGACTTAGAAAAGAGAGGAAGGTTTCCAATAGACTATTATAGAGATGTCAAAACCCATCATGGGAACTCCATTCATAGTGAAAGTGCAGATTTGGTTTTAAGTCATAGGATTACACTGTCCACGTGCAAGTATTTGCAAATGGATCCCCAGCACCACTGTTTGTCAAGGCTCAGAGCAAGTTACAGGTTTGCACGTTGTAACTGCATCCTCACTTCTACAGAAATCACATTTACAGTCCTTTAGATCCCCATCATTAGTTCATACCACAACTCCTTACTCATCTGAGACAGTGGAAGAGAAAAGCCAAACCCCAATTAAAACTTCTACAATGCTAAATGTTTCTTTTAAAAAACACTATTTAATTGCTCGAGAACATTAACAGAAAGATCTGAAGCAGAACTGTGCATGACTGACAAAACCCTCTGCATAAAGCAAATTTATAACACATAACAGTTTATCCTAAAGGAAAAGAGGGATCAGTCAAACCAGAGGGGGTAAGCAGTGAAAGCAGAAGTAACGAACTGAAGTCTATGAGGACATACCAGCTGCAACAAGCCACGTACAAGCTTATGTCAACACTAAAAAAAATTTCCTTTTTGCTCTCCTGACTTTATTAGGAGGTCAATTTATTAATGTTGGGATGAATTGCATTACGGAGCATAACACTGAAAAAAAATAATTCGTACAGGAACAAAATTACTTAAAATTCATCACTTTCAAGCTTGAACTGTGTAGCGCTGGGTATGAAATTCTCTAAACATTCACCCACAAAGTAAAGAAAACATAAACAGCTTGGAAGTATACTGTACAGTACAGACCTGAGCACCTAAGGCAGTGTCTTTGCCATTCTTCACTGCTTACCGTAACACAGACCACCACTCTGATTTGGCATTTATATAAGTAATGTTATTTGCATAACTCAAAACTAAGGCTACTCTATTTTCAGGTTACGTGTTTCCCCAGTCTGAGTCTCCTGGCGAGATACCTCTTCAGTAAGCATTAAAATGCTTTCAGGTGACACAGGAGCTGCGTGTTACCGTAGCAGAAACAGCCACCACCAAGCAGTTGTTGCTAAGCCAGACAAGCAGTGGCACCTGGTTTATCCACCGTGGGTAACAGAAGCATTTCTGGCAGCACTGCAGGCCTGCAGGTCTAGTTCAGTGGCATGGCAGCCCTGAAACACAGTGAGGGTTGCAGTACCAAAGCAGAAAATCTGTCCCACTCCCAAGTGTTGCTCGCTGCTTCTACTTACTACCAGTGGAAGCGACTGCCAAGAAGAGGTCCTAATTTTGACCAGACTGTAAAAAGGATTGCATTTTTCAGAATTTATCCATCAAATTCCTCTACTGATTGCTTATAGCTACTGGAATAAGACACCAGACAATACATTTTAAAAACATACTCAATCCATATGCTCTAGTCTACTTTAAAAGCTTGTTTCACATGCCCCAAATTAAGACACTTTTCCTATGCCATACTAGAAACTTTATCACACTTAGAAAGTGCATTCCCTTTCACGCTTAGAAAACACTACAAACTGCTTCACATTTCTGCAATTTCTCTGATTTAAGGGCCAGGCAGAGGTAACAAATCCTATATTGATTTTTTCCCCAGTTTTCATTTTTATATAAACAAGGGAGAAAGAAAAATACTATCATGAAACAAAGAGTCAAACAAAAATAAAAACAGATTAAAAGAATTCACACTACTTCATGTCAATCCCCTGTACATGTACAATGAGTTGTATCTAGTAAGGCTTAGGATGCTTACAGTCTACTGTTGGTTAGAGAACTGAATTGTTTTATGTAGGAGCATATGAAAGCCAGTTTTAGTCAAAAAGTTCTTTTCATCCCCATGTCATGTTAAAAAAAAAAAACAAAAAACTGTTACAGTCCTGAAAACAAGACTTCACCCAGGATTACTCCTCAGGCCTGCAGAGCACAGAACTGCTGAAAGACAGCCAATATGTGATGATCCAGCTCAGCTGTAAACAGGAGGTTCTCGAAGGTCACCATATACTGCTGGATTATCTGGTGATGCTGGAAGATAGAAAACATCTATGTTTGTGAAAAGCTGTCATCAACACTGCCATGCACACCTCATTTCCATGGTCACAGGCACCACTGACTAGAAAAGCACGATGCAGGGTTGGTGGCAAAGGAAAAGCACACGCTGCTATATGGTGCCAGGAAGCACTGCACTTCTGGGGGCTTTTCAGCCCTAGACGCTGAACTGGGTGGGTGCAGGGTGTCATATTCAGAGACTACTGCAGAAATACTGTAACAGACCCAAGGCATTTGTTTTAAGCTGAAGCCACATCTTGGACCAGATAAAGCTTCAGATAAAGCTTCAGCCCATGGGAGGATTACAGCACCGCTCCTTGCAGTCACCCACTTTTCCATGCACCTTCTGCTCACACAGGTACAATTTTCTATTGCTGTCACTGTCACCCAGTTACCTGATTTAACACAGACTACAACTGCTGTGCTCAGCAGCCACCAGCACCTGCCCACACCTCCTGAGCAGAGCAGAGAGAGGGCACACTCACCTGCAGGAAGATCTGCTGCAGCCTTTCTATGCAGCTCTTGTACCAAGGTGTAAATACATCGATTCCACCGGTTTCACAGCGCACTAAGTGCTCAGTTAACAACATAATGAAGCGCTTCAAGAGGAAAGAAGAAATAAATTTACTCGATGTCACCTAACGATAGCAGTTCCTAACCTCAGGTAAGTGCACCTAGAGAACAGAAACTTTAAATAACAACATGAAAATAAACTATTTCACTTCACAGACACTGGATTTTGTCAGCCAAAAAAAAAAAAAAAATCAAGTTACTTTTTCATTCAGGAATCCACACAGTCAAAGGATTCCATTCCTGTGTGCTTAAAACTAAAGAGGTCCTGTCCTGCTCAGCTGCAGTCTGCTGTGGGGTGAAGGATCAACTCAGGATCAACTCTAACCCACAGCAAGCCCATCAGCTCTTTCCTGTAGGGATGAGGATATAAGATGCCTGAGATACAAGCGACGTGAGAGCTTGTAAATTCAGTAACCTTTAAAGCCTGGAAGAGAGGAGAGCTTGCCGAGCATTACCTGGAATATAACAAGGAAGAGATTCTTCTGCTCACTCTGTGCTGACTCAACCTTCTCCTGCAAGCGCTCTATCTGCTCCTCCAGAGGTCCATCCTCCCGATCACTGCTCCGGTCATCATCATCACTGTCTCGCTGCAAGGGACAACACAAGCTTAACTAGCAACGTGTGGACACTGTCAACGCCCTCTGATTCCACCTGGCATAAAGCCACAAAGAGGCTGAGACTGCTTTTTAGCTCGTCGAGGTGTGTATTTTGAAGGGCATTTACTTTCAGTACAATTAGAAAATCCATTTGCGAGAAAAAAGCCAGCATGGGAACAGCCTGAAAAAAAAAGATATCAGAGTAGCCAGAGGAAACTTAAATATTTACTAGGATGAAAGCCAAAAGATGTGGTTTTCTCACTGCCTACAAACCAAAACATCTCACTCCTCCAAAATAAAGCAGCAACTCCCCTCACAAAATAAGCAGATAAAATAACCACAAGAACACGGTGCCAAACCTCCAGTCTCAGATAGCAAGGTCTTAACACAGGATTAAATAGGATACAGTCTGATAGATTACAGTACATTCAAATACAGATGTTACTTCCCTGATTGTTTCCATGTCAAAATACCCACAAATTAGCAGCTAAAAACTTCAAATATGTAAAAAAGGAGAATATACAATTTGTGACAAACACAGGGACTTGTCCTGCCCCACGCATTAAACAGCAAATGAAATTAGTTAACAGGAGATAGAGATAGCTCCAAGCCAGCATCAAAAAATAGAAAGACCAGAGCAATGGGAATTTCACTGTATTCTTTTTATAGAACCTCACTTCCCCCCTTTGCCCCCTATCTACAAAGGTTTCCTGAACTTAAAATGCTGAGTGCAACCTAAGAGAAACTTTGGACTCCCTCCATAGTAAGGCAATCCACTTCATGCTGGGAACATCAAAATCTGATGGCTTACTTCCTCTAAAAGGAACGATGATGCAGCAGAGCACCAGCCTGCAGGACCACTCACTGTTGCATACAAATGCTTCTTCCTGGCAAAATACTCATTTGAAGTATTCAGTAATAAAGGGCTGCAGCAAGAGATGAGAACAGACACAAAAAACACTGACGTATTTGTTTCGGCGTGCCAGAGAAGCTCTTTGCCTCACAGTAAGATCAATGACTGCGGCCAGGCCTTCAATAATTACTGGCATTTTTTAACTGCTGATCAATATAGATCGAGGATGCAGACAGCTGTAACAGCTGTTGCTTGGAGTGAAGGGAACTAGACAAAGGGGCTGGGACAAACTGACAGAGGCAGACTGCAAGGTGTTGGTGAACTCTCCGCAGATGTTCCTGAAAGCATGGATGACTTGTGTGGGTTTCTTCAAAAACAATCAGTTTTTGGAACAAGTTAAAGACTTTGTGCAAGCAATTACATTCAAAGACTAAGTCTTGACTAGCAAACTTGCTCTCTGCAGCTCTCAAACCAGCTTCTTCTATCACTAACAAGCGTTACACTCAGCCAACAGCACTGTGCCAGCAGCTGGCAGACAGACAAACTCTCACCCCATTTTACTATCCCACCTCAGACAACAGAACACAACAGAGGCTTGGTCATCAGTTTGTTGCATAGAGAAATTTAAGTCACGCAGAAGTGCTCAGAAAAATAACCTGGAAGAGGAGACGACAGGTGCCAGTGTCAGAATCCAGCAGCCTCCATCAGAAGAACAGTAACAGCCAACTTTTCGATAGCAAACAGCTGTTTCCGTGCACTTCTGCATGGAAGCCACAAGAGTAATCTTTAACAGAACTTACTGTAAATACCTAGTTTTTACCTGTTCTTACTCCTAATTAGGTAATGGAATCCAGATGAGAATGCAAATGGAAGACACGCTAATACTGGAAAAGAAACTTCTGCAAGGAAGCTTGGACAAAGCACAGGCACATTAATTCCCTTACAGATTTTACCAAATTCTTAGATTATGGCTACCTTCAGAAACGTGGATTCAGAATACGCATCCAGTTTTGCTGTCTTCCTACTATGAATGACCATGTTTGTAAAGATAAATGCATCCTGATAGGCATATTTACTCTGTCCTGCCCCAAAAGCAGCTACGCATCATTTTGACTGCATGCAGGTTTGCCTAACTTCACTTAAATAATCAAGAATGACAAACAAACTACTCACTCTTTTGTGCTGTCTGGCCAACCTTGCCTTTGTATCCTCCAGTTCTTTGTGAATCTTCAGAACATGCTTATTCATCTTACGAATTGTGGAATGCAAGATCTCCCAGATGTAAAACCTAAATACACAACACAGAGTAAGGCCTTTTTCTAGGAGTATTTTCCAGTGTCCTTCCACTTTGACGTTTTCAGAGACTAACTGCAAGAACACATTCCAGAAAGATTCTTGTCATATAAACACAATCCCAACTCAGAAAGAAAAATGAGCAAGTACGTATTCTGTAGAAACGACTGAAGGTCAAGTGTACCCTTTCCTTGCATTACTTTTCAGAGATTGTAAACTGGTCACTTAAAATAGTAGTTCAGAGACAAGTTACCTAGTAAAATCGTGTGCAAGCTCTGAGGAGAAGATCCAGTTTGCTACTGCAGCACAGTCAACAATTTGTGTCCGAATCATCTTGTCCACAAGCACAGCGATCATCTATATTTTGTGAAAGACAAAACAGTCATTTCTATCAAAATAAGAAAAGGTCTTGGGCAACATAAGTAGTACTCCAGCCTCGCATGAAACCAGAAAGTTTGATGAACTCAACAGCAGTATTCCTGGGTGATTTCAAAGTCTTTAGAAAACCACTGCTGTCCAGAAATGACATCTGGTTTGTCTAGCCTAAAGCTACTTTAAGGATCAGTATCGACTGCATAAAGCAAGCATTCTTAATTTGATCAAGTTTCTTCTACTCCTTGTGAAAGTAATGGATCGTTCTTCATTCGCATAATTTCCTCTTAAAAACAAAAATTTCAAGCATCAAAGCTGAAAGTGAAGCAGCACACACAACTCCAAGTATATGACATCAAGGTACTCAAACCAGAGCATACGTGACTCTCACATCAAGAAAGAGCAACTGCTGGCCTACACTCTCCCTGAAATGCAATAGTTTTCAAATACAGCAGTAACCTCTTTCCTGCAGGTACTATTGCATTTTAGGACAGAGCCAGTAAAGAAGTGCTTGCTGCAGGCAGTGCCATGAGTCCAGGGGCTTTGCAAGTAGTCCAAAAGGCAACTGTGGAGAAGAGCTGCAGACTAAAGCAGTTACAAGCTGTTCAGAAAAAAAGGCTTATCTTGGTTACTCATGTGCTTCAATGTCACGACATCTAAGAACCACAGCCTACAAAGCGTTTATCCTCACAACCATCCTTCAGCACATAAGGAAGTGTAACAAAGCTCCTTTTAAGGAAGGGAAATTAAAATAACCAAATGAATCATACGGAAGACTCAGGACTCAACTTTCACATCCCAGGAAAGCATCTTATGCTCTATGTGTCTTCCTGTAATGCCAAGAAGAATCTCTGATTGCTTCCCCTGATCTTCCAAGGAACAAGCTTAGGATTTCGGGGAAAACATCTTGGTGTTAAAACGTCTCTTTATGAAGTCACCACCACAACCACGCTCAACTAGCCCAGTGACCACCAAAAAATCACCATTTGCAGCACAGCCTACAAAATACTGACAGCTTAAGGCAGAACAAAAGGCATTCCCGTTCACGACGGAGTAGGGTGAACTGCAAAGAAACTGGGTCTACAAGTGCCCTGTGTGCCACAGATGTTGTGGACACGGGACAAGAAAGCACCTGAGCAGAAGCAAAAGTCTCAACTACAGCACATACAGGAGAGGAAATTTAGGTTCCACGATCAAGGCCTTCGAAACATCAGCACTTGTTTTTTTTAAAATGCAATTTTGATTTATTCATAAAAATCTAACCTAGCTGTTCAGTCTGACTTTGAAGCCTCCATCTCAGCTTGGTCATACTGCAGTACAAAGGAACGAAGAGGAAAAGGATATGGACATTAGACTGCAGCAATGTAATTTCTCCTGATCCAATTAAAGTAAAAGTAGGTCAAGACTGTAATCATCGCATTTTCAAGGTCACTATTTTGGGCAAGAAATTTAATATATTAAAAAAAAAAAAAACACTACTTTTTTGATATATATGTATTTTAGAACTGTATTTGAAAGACATCTATACAAGGCGCCACTTGTCTTTTAGGTACTAAATTTTCTCTAGGAACCACGGAAAACAGACCATAGGTTTAGCAGCAGCAGATGCAAGGATTATCCCCTGTTCACAGTGGAACCATTTCTTAATGTCTGTACAGTGTAGCTGTGAGGTCCGGTCCCCTTTCTATTACAGTACCGTGTAACTCAAGCACATCAAGCAAGGAACACATAATTAACGCAGGCAAATTCAGTGTGAGCTCCTCATTTTTATTTCTATGTTTAGAAGAATGACAGCTGAGGGAGAAAACAACCGCTGTGAAGAAATGGAACTGTTTAAACAGCTGAGGTGTTTTCCATAGGCCTTCCAGGGTGCTATTTCCTCTGATTGAAGAATGAATGCAATCATGCCTCTGCAGTCTGACTGTTCCATTCTGAACAGTTACTGACTGCAGCTCTGCTCATATCCAACAGCGACTTCAACTTGATCTCTGTGGAATAACTGCACAGCTTTTGCTAGCAAGTGGAAAAAGCCTAAAGACCAACCAGGTTTCCCCATTTCCAAGAATTTGGCTTGCTTTTGTTATGAGATCTACCACTTATTTCAATTCTATGCATCAATACCACCTTCCAATTTTGAACAGAAACAAGTTCTCTTGTACGACAAACAGCACAGCATGAACCCAAGTCAGAATGACACAGCCTTTGCTCTCCCACAAATAACTGTGAGAAATGAACAGCCATATACTATATACTTTACCTCCAACCTTCACTTTAAACACTATTCATAATGGCAGATAGAATTTGAACTTTCCTTTATATAAGAAAAAAGTCAAGAAAGTTTTAAAGGATATAAAGCAAACTATAATGCTTTACTTAATGTGACCTCTGAGAGTTTAAACTCAAGTGGTGCTTGACACTGCAGTGCCTCACCTGTGGATGGTTCTTCCAGACCTCGTACACAACTCTCAAAACATGGAGTTTTCCCTCATCACTTTCAGCAAGCGTTTTGAAGACTTCATGAAACCTTTTAACAGATGTAGATTAGTCAGTGAAGGAGCAGGGCTCAGGTCAAAAGGGTATCTGATATGAGGTAAGTGGTTTAGATTGCCCAAAAAAGGAAGTTTTGGGACTTTATACAGCAAGTCCTGAACAACTACTAACAGGAAAATATAACCATTTGAGCCAAAAAAACATATACTCCTAAAAGCAGCTTAAATCTCAGTGGTGAATCTCCTCCTGGAAGGTGGACTGTATTTCTCATATTCCTTGAAGTACGAGGCACACAAAAATGCTTCCTGTGCTCAGCTGGGGCAAAACGTGCTGCTTTTAGAGCCTTAGACCTTCTTGATATGCTTCCGTAACTTCAGACACCCAATCTGCCCCTTTTGAAGGAAATGCTGCTAAAGCCTCTGTTTTAACAAAGTTATGCTGAACACTGCACAGCATTCACAACTCAGCATTTTCTAACTACAAAGAATGACCTAATGACTGCCAGTGTTGGTGTGCAGCAGTGAAAACACCACGGATGTGTACTCACCTCAGCATGCCTCTCATACTACTAACTGCAGGTTACTGCCTACAGTTTATTGTAAACATGCCTCTAAAATGCTTCCAGGTACAGGTTTTTGTATCAACCACATACTTTAACTGAGGAACAGAAAAGTAATTCATTAAAGTGCATCTGACTACTGCCTTCCTAGATCATAGATGCTTAATATCTCCGAAGCACAAAGTATTAAACTCAATGTGTAACTTTCTGTTAACACCATCCGTATGTTTCTCTTAACATTTACAACACTTCTGTTCCGTCAGTATGAGTGTCACTAGCTCTCAGAGTCCAACTACATTGAGAAGTACCTAAAACATTGCTGAAGCTTGCAGATCATTTTTTTTCCCAATCGTTTCATTTATGGAACTAAATAGCTCTGCCAACCCTCAAATAGTGCATGTTACACTTACTTTGCCAGGGCGCTGAAGGAGTGGCTGAAAGACTTTGCGGCAAGATGGAGCAGAGTCTGAACGAAGACTTCTATTTTCAGAGGATTGAAAGTAAATCCTTCATCTGCAAATTATTTAAAGTTTCATATGTAACGCTTACAGTATCAACTGTAGAGATAACTGACGGTTTTAACTCATCTCAGGCAATGTTTTAGCAATAAGGCCATGCAAGGCAGATAAGGGTGCTAGCAAACAATTTAGTATTTATTTTACTAAGCGCTATCTATGTTGCAAATAGTCACACTCCCATTTTGTCCTGGGGAAAACACACAAAGATTTCCAGGCCAGTGAAGGAGCTACCAGAGACACAACTGCTATACAGTAACATAACAGCAGTCGGACAGCAGCAGAGAACAGCCAAAGCAGCTGCAGAAGTATGCAACAAGATGAAGGCATGGTGGAACATGAAGAAAGGAGAGTAAACGTGGACAGGGAAAGCTAAAAATGATTAGGATGCAGAGGATGGCCTTTTCTGATATGGGAGAAAAGTCCAGTGAGTGTGCATAACAAATATGGGTAGTAGAGGTGAATAGTGATAAATCTCCTCCTGTACACCTGAAGACAAGCAGGTTGGAGAACAGTTATTGCTGGGTGAAGCTTAAAGCAAATTGGCATGCAGAAAACAGGTTACTATTGCCCTCTGCTTGCATAGGGGAGCACTGTCTCATACTGCAGAAATACTGGAACTCATTGTGCGGATCACTTCTTTCACTTACTTAAAAGTGAAATTCTCACTCCTGCACTCCTCATCCCCTAAAATGTGCAGGCTTTAGGAATCAATGCTGTCTGTGTCCAAAGATCTAAAAAGAAGTCACGCGGAGTTCCAATGTGTGTTTCTATCTTAGGAGAATCTTATCTGCACTGGGACTGCTCTGAGAGAAGGGGAGCTCTTAGGGCAAAAGCACTGATTTTACACAGCGTAAAACAAGCAACGTGAAATGTACTCTGCTGGTAAAGGCAAGGGAGATGCTAAATTCCAACACACTGCCTCTGTCAATAATCTCAAGAAAACTGATCTCAAGCACTGTGTTACCTCTGTTAAGAAACAAGCCTGCTTCTGCAGATATTGTGTTTACAACAAACTCTAATAACTGTGCTATTATTTCCGCTTACTAATATATTCTAATCAACTATTTGAAGGAAGAACACAAAATCTGGTTAACCACCACACGTATAGCTCTAAAGTGTACACAGTAACTAGAGCCTTGCAAAACCTAACCAAGATACCTTACCATCGTCATCATCCTGGTTTGGATTAGGCACATCTTTTAAAATGCTGAAGATTTCATCATTACTGGCCTTGTTTTTAATTGCAATTGTTAAACAGAGTGCCACAGTATATCCAGGAAGAGACCCTAAATAACAGCAAAGAGATAAAAAAAAAATTTAGAAAGGAACTGAGTATCTTTTGATATTAGTTTGCCTATCAAAGAAGCAAGAACACTTCCCAGATGCACATAATTAGTTGTTTCAACATCACGGTCCATTATTCTATTAAAACTGCTCAGTAGGTTTCCTTGTCTTCATGTCAAATTCAAAACTTTTGGTAGAATCTTTAGAGCTGAGGCCAAGAAATCACTCTCCTATTTTAAAGCTCCACATAGCTTCCCTCAACTTCCTAAAATACAATACTAACTTTCTTTTTTTCCCTTACTTTATCTTGGATGACAAAATCTTCACATTTAGGATTGTTCATTACTCCTTTTATTACTGGTTACATGAAGTTACTTTTTCCCCCCCCTCAGTCTTCACGTTTTCTGCTGCCTCTGTATGCTCCATTACTAGTGGACTGTTCTACTGTCTGTTATACTCAAAATACTAGCATGCTCCCTTGCTCTGAGGCAGTTTGACTTGACTCTTCATGAACTTTAATACTTACTATTGCTTTCATCTCCATACTTGTAGATACACACTGGATTTGCAGGACTGAGGACAGAAAAGCTTGCAGGAACAATATCGATTATTCGCTGATGGTAGGAGAGTCTGCAAATAAGTTTAAGAGCAGTAGAATTGAAAAGGGTTAATTCTGAAGTCATTCCTTTACAATGGCTTCCTGATATTTAAGTTTCACATATGTTAAGAAAATACAGCTGTACTGAATAAAGTGCTCATGAGTAAGATCTAAGTAACTTGTTAATGGATGCTTGCTACTTGAATACCTTGATACTGGCACTTCATCCTCACAACATTCAGCTTTTGAAAAGATTTAGAGGCTGCCTGGTAGATGCCTCATGCAAAAGCTTATGAAGCTATCCAGAAAAATAGTAAGAGTCCAGTCAGTTACTAAGTCCCCAGTCAAAGGAGAAAAAAAAAATATTAAATGCCTTCATGTCTACATATCTCTTGATTTTACTTCCCAGCTTCCGTCGATCCTACAAAGGCTTAATTTGGTGAAATGGAAAAACACAACAAAAAACTTGAATTAGTTTTGCAGCGTGTTATGTTATGCAATGTCATCACACTTGCCTGTACTGAATTCACTCCAAAACAGACTGATCTAAGATTCTGAACAACACAGGCTTTTTGAACATTTTACTATGTCTCCTATCCCTCTATCTCAAGAATTCTGACAGTGTATTCTTGTTGGGTTCAGTGGGATTTTTGTTTGAGGTTTTTTTAATAACAGGTACGTTTCTCCGAAAGTAATGCCTCCTAGTAGTTTCTTATAGAAACTACAACAGATACAAAAAGCACAATAACGCTGTTTGACAGAGACTCAGCTACAAAAAACAGTTTTTCAGCATAGTCACCTCATCAGCTCTGCATTTTCACAGAGGAGGTGATCTCTACTGCTGTCACCACTGCTTAAATGCACCACTTGCCCTTCTCTGTGCTTACATCCACTGGCTCGTGTCCATGAACATTCAGCAAGCGTCACTAATAACGGGTGCTACTTTTTCCCAGGAAGGAATTCAATCCCACACTTTGCTCCATATGCACTTCCTCATCAGACGCCATTTTGCCAGACTGCCCCTCTACTGCCATCTGTTGCATGGCCACAACATGGAGTGCAGCACTGACAGGAAGGTTCAACCCCCACAGCCACACCGCCACCATCTGCCTCCGATACCGTGGGCAACATAATAAAAGTAGGAGATGGTGCTTTTGGATTACTTCAGTATATATATATATATTTTAAAAAGGGCTACTGACATCAAAGAAACAAGAATTGTAATTCCACTCTTAGTTTTTAGAGTAACTAATGATACATTCTGTCTGTTTCTTTGAAATCTAAGTATTTCTCAGGACTACTGGCTGATCTCTACTTCTCTCCATGCCCACGGTGAAGAATGTCCCTTTGTAAACAGATGGAAGCGTAACTAGAGCAGATAGTTCATTACTACGTGCTCCACCTGTTTCTCCCCATCTGCTAGAAGTAGTGCTCTGCAACAAATAAATCAGAATAAAATCACACAAACAACAGACTCGTCTCTTATTCAAAATGGAATTACAAGAACAGACATGTAAGACAAAAATTACAAGGAGTGTGGAAGCATCCAGAAACAAAGATCATTCTACTTTGAGCATAGCTATCTACAGATTTTACTTACCGCATGCATTTTTCCAAAACCTCTCTCACAAACTTGGGTTTGGGCTTTTCAAGGTCCTGAGTAAGACAGTCTGACCTATCAAAGAACAGAGGTGATGGTTTTTAGGGAAAGAATTTGACATTTAATCTCTTTTTGGCTGGGTCTGATACGTATAAAACAATCCTGGTCTAAGCACAGCTGGACTGCCTGACACTCTTTCACAGCAAACACATTCTTAAGACAGTGAGACAGCTCATCACTACATCCTTACTAACAGTAAGAAAAGTCATCTTTATGTGATGTATTTAAGTAGCTCTCCTTCCCACAACAGATTAAATTAACTTGTGCTCATGGTTATTCTGCCTTCCTTCTCCCTAGGAAAAAAAAAACATTGTGTGATTTTATACTTTATTTCTTCCTCACAGGAATTTGAGTTTCTGGCTGATTTCAAACGCATTTCAGGTTACGGAATATCTCAAATAGTTACAAGATTTGTGAAAAACAGCAGCTTTTGAGAAAAAGCACGCAAGCATTCCCATCAAGGAGCATCCACGCAAAGAAAACACTGGTTCTACAAAGATCTCCAGTAGGTCAGTCAACATTCTACTTAGACTAAACAAAAACCATTCAGCTCTGCGAGGACAATACAAGAAACTTAAATAATGCCACAATATCTTGAACAGCTCTCCATGAGAGCTGGGCAGATCAGCCATGGAGAACATATATGGTAGCAGACTAGAGAAGCTGGGACTGTATTAAGGATGTAACTCCAGCTTTAATGGGAGAGGGAGCAACAGTGTACAGTATATGAGAAAGGCAGCAGGCAGCCAGCACAGTGCCTGGAATACAAATCCCATGGAAGCCTGTGGTTAGGCATTGTTGGAGACCACTGAGCTCCTGCCAGGAATGCAAGTTTGAGATTTAGCATAAGAATGGACAGCGGGGCCAGCTCTGCTGGAAAGTCAGGTACCAAGATTTTGCAGGAGGGAAACTAATTCAAAGATGTCACAGACAAAGATGAAAATTGAAGGTTTAGGGTAGGACAGAGCATAACATCATAGAATGAGTAGAGAATACAGACTAGGATACAGATACAGGGCATGGGGGCAGATCATTAAAGTTAGGGAGCCATTCAATAACTGACTGAGAACACAAGACAAAACAAAGAAATTGTGTTTCTACTCCTCCTCTTCAGGGAACACTTGCACTGGCTTGATACTTATCACAAAATTGGTAAGGGACAACACAGAGACTGAAAGGATTATCAGGACAATCTACCTCTAAATGGCGATGAGCAAATTAAAAAAAAAATCTCTGCAAACTTAGAGGAAAGCAATTAGTACAGCCAGTATACTGTGACACTTTCTGGCTAAGTCTGAAACTTTATGGTTTCTGCAATATGAGTTTCATATCAAAATGAGAGAAACTTACCAATCTTCCCAGCTCCAACGGAACTGGAAGTTACTCAGGTGGTGAGAAAACCAGTTAATGAATCTTCATCATAAGAAGAAAAAAAAAAAGCTCCATTAAACATTTAAAGTGCAGAAAAACTTTCCTTTGAGATTTTCTTGTAAATATATTCTATATGTCAAAGGCAGTACAGCACTACATTTAGGTCAAAAGATGAAGTTTAGAAAATCAGAAACTAGATATTTTGGACAAATAAAGAGCTTCTCATGTTCTGTTGTTCCATGCAGATGGAATACTAAGCTAACAATTAAAACAAACTTACTGTGAATACACAGCTTTCACATTTTAGATGAGTAATTAATAGCTCTCCTGCACTCAAACCACCACTGTCCTCCACATTTGGATGGCACATGTACCATAACTTCATTTCCCAGACCACTAAGGAGCATGCACAGTACAAGACAGAATACTGTGCAACTTACACCAAGCTGGGATGCGTGTAAGTTCTCACCAGCACTCCAGTGGAGTGTTTTAGGAAGAAAAGGCACAAGCCCCCAGACTTCTATTTAGATTAATCAAATCAAGAGCCCTCCAAAATTGTTTCGAACAGCACTATGACTTTATAAAAATAATTTTGGATTATTCTTTCCATAGATTCCTATGCCCAAACGCATAGGAAGAATGAAGAATATTTACCTGTCTACACAGGTTGTATTCATTGTATCCAAACGCATGTAGAGCATTTCTGTGGCTTGTGCAAGCTTAAGTTTCTTGTTAAGGTTAACAGAAAATTACTAGATAAATCAAATGCAATTCCATTCAGTTTTGGAATAGAATGGTAAGAACTGATGGCTCCCTTGGACTATTCCAGAAGCAAGTAAATCACACTAAATCCATTGAGTAAGAAAAGAAAGACAAGAAGCCAAAAACTGTTATTCCTTCTAACGCTGTTTTTCTTCCACTGCAGTGAGACTGGCTCCTAGAGAAAGTTAGAATTCTCTTCGTGCAAGGGAGCTGTGCAGACACAGATAGCAACCAAGTACTTCTGTAACCTTCCTTGTACCTTAACAAGCTGCTCTTGATACCCGTGCACAAACAACCTTTGATCATCACTAAAAACCTCAAGAAACTATGTCTACACTGGCTTTGCCCAACAAAAGCTTTATTGTTTTTACAGCATCCCTGTTAACATTAAAAGCCTTCTGCACAGAGATCCCCACAATTCTAGGAACACTTCAAACTCTAATCACTGGCATTACATGATTTTCAAACAATATGCCCTTGTGGCCATGAAGGCCAGTGGTACCCTAGGGTGCATTACAAGGACTGTGGTTATCACGCTGAGGGAGGTGATCCTTTCCTGCCCTGCTGAGGTCACATCTGGAATACTGCATCCAGTTCTGGGCTCTACAGTTCAAAGAAGGAGATCTTCTAGAGAGGGTGCTGTGGAGGGCTACAAAGACGACTGGGGTCACAGAGCATTGCCCATGTGAGGAAAGGCTAAGAGACACGGGACTGTTCAGCTTGGACGAGTGAAGTCTGAAGGGACCTTATCAGTGCTTGTAACTACCTAAAGGATGGGTGTTGAGTAGATGGGGCCAGGCTCTTTTCAGCAGTGCCCACTGATATGACAATGGGCAATGGCAGAAACCGGAACACAAGTAATTCTATATGAGGAAAAACAACTTTACTGTGAGCACTGGAACAGGTTGACCACAGAGACTGTGGATTCTCCTTCTTTGGAGACATTCAAAACCTGCCTGGATGCTTTCCTTTGCAAACTACTGTAGGAAACATGCTTTAGAGTGAGGTTGGACTAGATGATCTCCAGAGGTCCCTTCCAACACTTACAATTTTAAGATTCTGTAATGATATTATGACATATAAAGAAAATTTGTGAATGAAGTTACCAGTGGATAGGCACCTGTTCTCAAGAATCTGTAGCTTGTTGTGAAAGGATGAACTAACATGATCCAAGACTGCAATATAACAGGAACAATTTAACAGACAGAACGAGCTAGGGGTCATGTCGCCTTTCTCAGCATGTAACTACTCTTATTTGAGCTGACAGTCAATTACCGACGTTCTGAATGCTTCCAGTGAGAGCCTTTGAATGGGAACTTGGGCAGGTTCATTTAAAATCATCTACAATGCTCACACAGTTCCTAAAAGCATAGATTAAGTTTGTTCCTTCCTTTCCTTCTCAGCCTTCAATATGCAATTGAGCCACACATTATCCAGTCTTAACAGGATACTTTAACAGCAATTCTTTGGAAGGTGAAAGGAAGTACCAGAGCAGCGTTCATAAATCTGAGGAGTCTTGCTCAGTCAGCCAGACTAGACCCATGCTACATGGGCTGTGCTTTTCTTTCATGCAAGTATTACAAGCAAAGCTTCATGTGGCAGCTGTAAAATAGATTACTGGCAATATTTATTGCTATTTCTTCACCTACAGAATAAGTGACATAAAGGCTCCATTTTAAAAATGCTTTCCAGAAACAAAGGAAGGATACAACTTGTGGCAAAGAACCAGGCTGAAGTTTGCACAGTTCAATCAGCAGTGTTGTGTACATGACCTCGATGTGTGGCGGAGAAGGAAGCTGAAACAACTCTGCAAAAATTACCTGTAGGAAAGGAAGGCATAGAATCAGAGCACAGCCAGCTTCAGAACAGCAACATCAGTCTTAAACAAGCACGCAGCCAAATAGGCTAATATTATTCTGTCAAGCTCGAATTCTAGGAGAAAAAGGTAAAGCTTACAAAGACAGTGGTAACTCTGTGTCATATTAAAACATTCCAAAACCACCCTCACCGCTCTGTATTAACACAACACAGTCCCAGCATTAAACATGAGACATCTAAGAAAGCGTGTACAGCTGTATTATGCCCTGATGCAGTGTTACCAAGTGATGTTGGCAAAACAAAGCTGAAATAATCTGATTCTATTAAATATCAAACACTAAACACATTAAGCATATAATGCGAAAGATGATTTACATGAAAATTAGACTGTACTTTTCCACACTATTTTCTTTTCTCTTATACAAAATAATAAATGAATATAGTCACAGCCTGCAATAGAAAATAATAACCACCACTCCACCTGACAGCAATACATGCCCTGTATCCCCTGGGCTGAGGATCCCTTTAAGAAAACTAAAAACAATCCTGCAACCAGCATTCATATTTTATTTTCAACTTTACTCATAGGAGTGTGTCAATCTTTAAGGGCTATGAAGAAGTCACCACTGTGCAACATCCATATTTGAGTTTCTGGTTAGTCTGCATGCCGTTCTCAACTAGATTCCAATCTAGTTCAAAATCACAAACCTTTGATTCATTACAGTTGGTAATTTTCCTCACTGACACCTTTAAACTTCTGAATAAACACAGAAGAATTAAAGCTTAAATGAGTAAGCAGTAGATAATGCTCTTACTAGTTTAAGAAATCACTGTCCATTTATAGGTTTCACAAACAGCACGTGAAAACAAGAAAATGCAACAGTCTGAGGATGGACTTGGAATCATAACAAGACTATAAAGAAGCTGAAGAACTTTTCCATGGAAAAAGCTTCTGGGTCTGATAAAGATGGAGGACTGGTATCCACTCCTGCTCTTTCAAGACAGGTTACATGAGGAAGCCACAAGGAAATGACAAAAAATTATGAGATCCTCCCTTGGGATAGAGGAGTACCAGGAATATACAGGATATCAGGAACACAGGTACTGTTCTTCTTGTTCTTCCTGGCTGGAGACTGGGTCTTGTGTATGCTGCAGTGAAAGGACCACTTCAGTGACTGGCTGCATGAATGGTATCATGCTCAGGGTTACTGGTTCTACAGTTCTGGACACACCTTCAAGAGATCAGGCAGGCTGACATTGGATGGGATGCAACTGTTAGGATGGGGCAACAGTTTAAATAGGCTGGGCTAACAGAACTTTAGATAAGATCTGATGGGGAAAGGCTTGTACTTCTAACTGACAGAGAAGAGCCAGGAAACACTGTCATTATAGTAAGCAGCAAAGGAAAGCCTCATATTTGTCTCAGTGCTCTTACAAGAAGGCAACATGGCCAATAGCCTGCCTGAAGTGCCTTTACACCAATGCATGCAGCATGGGAAATAAAAAGGAGGAAATGACACCATGGTGCAATTAGAAAACTGACTTAACTGCTAGCACAGAAATGTAGTGAGACAAGTCACATAACTAGAAACACCTCAGCTGAGGGCTGCAAAGTTTTTAGAAGACAGACAAGGAAGCAGAGGGGAAGGAGTTGCACTGTATGTTAAGAAATGGACAGACTGTGAAGAGTTGCCTCTGAAAAACAGCAACAATGAGGCTGAGTGCTTCTAGGGACCGTACCAATGAGGGACATCTGGTGGTCAGGCAACCTGATCAAGGAGTCAATTGATGAGGTATTCTTGCTTTGTCTGCAAGAAACATCCTGATCACAGGATCTCATCCTGATGGGGGATTTCAACCACCTGGATGTTTGCTGGGAAAGCAACATGGTGGGCTTTAAGCAGTCCAGGAAACTCCTGCACTGCACTGAGAACAACTTCCTTGTCCAGGTACTAAACAGGAGGTGAAGCATTATTAGACCTGGTGCTCACTGATGCAGCTGAAATCATGAAACAGGTTAAGTCTGGAGACACCATAGGCTGTAGCAACCATCTCCTAGTTAAGTTTGTGATTTTAAGTAAGATGGGCCCTGACATTCAGGAGAGTGACACTTCACACAATTTATTAAGAGAACTATTGGGTGGGATCCCCAGAAAGCTGTTGTTATGGACAAAGGAAAAGAACAGAGCTGGCAACTCTTTAAAGACAGCCTTCTGAGAGCACAAGAACTCTCCATCCCCAGCATAAGAAATCAAGTAGAGATGGGAGGAAACTGGCATGGTTCAAGAAGAACCTGCTGGTCAAATTGAGGAATAAGGAGGAAATACAAAGGCAGTGGAAGCAGGGATGTGTGGTCTATGAAGAATACAAGGACACCATCTAGACAAGGAGAGAGAGAATCGGCAGTGCCAGGGCACAGAAGGCACAGATCCCTCGTTGAGTGAGGTGAAAAATAACATGAAAGGATTCTATATGTATGCTGGTTGGAAGAGGCAGGCCAAGAAGCGTGTACTCACTGATAAATGAGATGGGAGAACTGACAACAACAGACACAGAGAAGGCTGTAGTAGTCAAGTTCTTTGTCTCAGTCTTCATTTGGCAGTCACACTTCCCACATCTCCTAAGTTCCTGAACCTCTAGATGGGGTTGAGGGAATAAAATCACTCCCACTGAAAGCAGAGAGCAAGTCTGAAACCACTGGATGAGACTGAACTGTGTACAAGACTATGGGGCTGAACAACATCCATCCCAGAGTCCCAAAGGAACCGGCTGATGTATTGTCATGCCACTCACCATCAGATTTGAGAAGTCATGGCTATCAGGCAAAGTCCCCTGTGACTGAAGAAAAGGAAACATCACTCTTATTTTTAAGAAAGGCAGAAGAGAATACCTGGGAAACTACAGGCCATTAAGCCACACCTTTGTGCCTGGTAAAATCAAAGAACAGATCCTCCTGGAAGCTATATTAAGACCCTTGAAAGAACAATGAGATGATCTGAGACAGCAAACACAGCTTCACCAAGGGCTGACTGTGCCTGACCAATCTGGCAACCTTCTATGAGGGAGTGATAGCATCAGTGGACAAACAAAAGGCAAGTGATGTCATCTACCTAGACTTCTGCAAGGCCTTTGACATGTTCATAGACTAATTAACGTTGGAAAAGACTTCTAAAATGCTCAATTCCTATGTCAGTCAATCACCAGCATGCCTACTAAACGACACCCCTCAATGCTGCATCTACATGTTTCTCAAAAACCTCCAAGGATGGTGACTCACCACCTTCTGGGTAGCTTGTTCCAATGCTTCACCATCCTTTCTGAGGAAAGATTTTTCTTAATATGCAACCTGAACTCTGGTGCAACAACACACCACATCCTTATGTCTAAACTAGAGAGATACAGATTTTAAGGGTGGTTAAAAATTTGATTGGATGCTTGCAGCCAGAGGGTTGTGCTCAGCAGTTCTATGTCCATGTAGAGGACCCCACGGGTCCATTCTAGTACTAGTGTTTTCCAACATCTTGATCAGTGACCTAGGAAGTGGGATTGGGTGCACTCTCAGCAAATCTGCAGATGGAACTATGATGTGTGGTGCAGCAGAAGGAAGGGATGCCATCCAAAGAGACCTTACAGTACTGAGAAGCGTGTGCATGTGAAGCTAATGAGATTTAACGAGGCCAAGAGCAGGGTGTTGCACCCAGGTCAGAGCAATTCCAAATATGTATACAGACTGGGAGAGGAACTTATCAAGAGCAGCCTTGCAGAGAAGGACGTGAAGGTTTGGCTGGACAAAAAGCTGGACATAAGGCAGCAGTGCGTGCTTGCAGACCAGAAAGCTAACTGTATCCTGGACTGAAACAGGGGTGGGTGGCCAGCAGGGTGAGGGAAGGCCGTGTCCCTTCATACTCAAGATGATCAGAGGGGTAGAACAACTCTCCTGTGAAGAAAGGCTAAGGAGATGGGCTTGATCAACCTGGGAAAGAGAAGGCTCCAAGGAGACCTCAAAGCAGCCTTCCAGTACTTAAAGCAAGCTTATTAACAGGAGGGAAACAGATCCTTTACACAGTCTGATAGTGATAGAACAAGAGGAAGAGTTTCAAACTAAAACAGGAAATTTAGTTTAAATACAAGGATGCATTTCTTTCTCAGAAGGAGGTGAGCTGCTGGCAAAGCTGCCCAGAGAAGCTGTGGTTGCCCCATCCCTGGAGGTGCTCACGGCCAGCGTGAACGGGGCCATGGGCAGCCTGATCTGGTGGGGGGCAATTCTTCCACAGCAGGGAGGTTGAAACTTGGTTTGCTTTAAGGTCCCTTCCAACACAAGCCATTCTATGATTCAATTATACTGTTAAGACACATATGGTAAAAAAGCAGCGGGGAATGCGTTAGGTACAGAATTGCTTCCGCTGTCAATACAGGAAATAGCAACAATTGGATGATCAGTTACTATCTATTTGAGATACTGCTTAAGATGGTAGTTCTGATACTCATCACATGCTCATTACCAATTATTCATGTAAAGCATTTCACGTAGTACCATATTTTGCAGAAACAACTGAGTTACAAAAAAGGTCAAGACACTGACAACCTGAACGTATAAACTTTGTCAAGCTCAAGTTTTATACCATAAGCTTTACAAGTGCAACAGGTCATACTAGTTCAACAGCCTAGTGATGCTGTGGATCTGCTCACAGCCACTAGTGTTACCCACATAAGCATGAATAAGAAACTACTGAGGTAGAGGTGACACATTTCAGAGTTTTGTGCACAGAGCATTCCGTGCTTGACGTGACAGACTATAACATGGAGCATCTTGGGAAGGTACTGAGCAGCATACATTTACTTCTGTCTCTCTGCTACTTTCTGAATCTTAGGTAACACTTTCCTATATTTGTTAGACATTATTTCTACTGTTCTATGCTGTACTACAGAAGTCAGGAGAAAATTCTTCTGAACTGTTATTGAAAACAACCTAATACTAACCTGACTGTTGGGAGAGAACTTATAAAGGAATAGTAGCAACCAGACTGTATTGAAGTCTGTAAAATGCATACTAAGCCTTAAAACCTCTGGAATTTCATTAAAAATTTGCAGAGTCATTGGCAATAAAATTAAAATTCTAAAAACTGAAAATTAGAGAAGGGAGAATTCTGATAGTTACATTCATACACTTCATACACCGATCTTGCATTCCTGTGCAGACATTTCATCCATGCAGACCTTTTTTATTCTCATACCCTGCAAGTTTTCAAATCAATGACTTTCCAAGACGTTTAACTTATGTATTTGGGAACTGCAACTGCTGATAGTAAAGTATAAGTGAGCATAAAGCACCCAGCCATACACAGCTCCTGAAGATTCAGAGGGCCACTGAAGATACCTTGATGTTAAGGCAGAAAATTACTTCCAGCATGAAGATTTTTCTCTTACGAAATCAAAATTACAAAAAGAACAACATGACTACAAGTAACACAACAGCACTTAGAATATTGCAGGAATTCTCAATCCCATCCTTATAAAAATCAATCTTCTATGCAAGATATATTCATTACAACTAACTACAAAATTTGTACTTATAGTTAGTTCTTCATAAAGCCTTTAGATGACATGAACAAGGTTTTAAACAGCCCTGCATCCTGGAAACAGACTCCTGAAAGTAGGCAGCAAGAGAAAAATTCGTACTGTTTTTCTGATACACTGTCTACAATGAAAGGTGCCCTGGAAGAAGCAAACCATTATTTCGTCTCAAGCTCTTTTCAGGACCAGGACACCACAGCCAATTTGAAAAACAAACAAAACCCAACAACACCTCCCCTCTTCCCCACCAAGTTAAAAGTAACAACAATAAGAATAAAATTAACAATTGTATTGCATATAACTTAACTTGCCCATTAAAGCCACTGCTTACATTCAACAAGGCTCTGGTTAACTCCCAAATCAAACTAATTTAGTTGAACTTATCAAGCTAATTGGGACTTCTTATTAGCAAAAAAAAGAGCCACAAAAGAGATAACTTATTAAATGCATACCTCTACTATGTGATAGTTCAAGGGTATCTTGTTATTTCCTGGATAGCTCAAGAGCTGGGCAGCACTGCAAAAGCACAGACCCATTTAGTTCACAGTGTAATGCAGCAAACATAATGTAAAGATTAACTCAGAAAGTCATAGGAAATATTAATTCTCAGCAGGAAGTCACACAAAAAAAAAATCATCACACATCAATCAAAATCCCTTCCAAAGACTGCCCCTTGTTCCACAAAACACAAAATAATCAGCACAAGAGCACACTAGCACAGCCCAAATTTAAGAGCTGTAAGGATGAATTTTCTCTTCCTCTTTATTTTAATTTTATACTACTAAGCAAAGTAATTTCAGAGACATCTGCAATTCTGGCATGTGTATATGAAGAGGAAAAAGCCCAAAGCTAAACAAACATTCACAATGGACTTGGAAGCACAGTAAAGTTAACTGATTATATAAGAAACTCAATCTTCAAACAGTTTCTCTTTTAACTAGTTCATTATTGTCTATCATTATTTCACAACAAACAACTGATATTTTCTTGATTTCACTTTTACCTCAGGTTAAATTTAAAAAATTAAGTTTTCCTCTTTACTTTGTCAGAGAAATAAAAGATTATTCCAGTGCCTGCAACAACCTAGATTCAAGAGATTAAAAAAACTCCAAACAAATAACTTCACCAAATACTATTAAACATTGGTTCTGACCATTTTTACACACTATACCAACTTTGGTGGCTTTCACACAGAAGTATAACACAGACAGTTAATTACCCATGGCAAACAACCTTGCTTATCAACTATGCACATCAGACTTTGCCCAAGCAGAAAGGAAGAAACATGGCTTGGCTGCTTCCTCGCACTTCCAAATTCAAACAAAAGAAATCTGTTGGCACTGTAATGACTGCTCAGAGCTAGGTCAGTTACCTCTCCCATGTAATCCTAAAAATAAGACTGCATCAAGGAGCAGCGAGCAAAAGCACTTTCATGAATGCCAGATAAAGTAAAGGTTCACTGCACTTCAACAAATCAGCTTCTCTAAAATTCCAGGAAGCATCATATGACCACACTCTCCACTGAGCTTAATGGGACATGAAGAGCTAGGTGCGTCTGCATCAATTTTTGCAGCATATTCTTTATTATAATTCCTTTCCCAAGGGGTCACAGCCACTTCAACACGTGGACTCTTCACTATCAGAATACTACAGCCCCACAGTATTCCAGGTAACATTTTCAATACAGATAACTGTAGTGAATCAAGTTCATCAAATACTCTAGGAAATGTTTAATCTCTGTTTATCCAGTTCAGGATTCTGCATATCCCTGATGCTACTGAAGCCATGTTCTTATATAAAAAGTGCCTGGGCTCCATAATGCAAAGCTCTGCCTACCAAGTCTTTCTCTCTTTCCAGTGGGATTTGATGATGCAGTGAAGGTTCTCTTCTATTACAAATCGTTCAACAGAATGGCTGCCAGGCATGACAGGGCCCTAGTTAAAGGAAAAAAAAGGTGATGACTCATGAAAGATTACTGCAGTGCTACTACACTTAGCCATTTATAGAACTAACAAACATGGTGAGTTCTCAACTGCCTTGTATCCTACCAAGAATGCACACCCAAGGCCTGTATTCAGAACAAAATAAATACAAGGACTCATTATGGAGGGGAACAAGATTACAGAAAATAATCACAAGTTCATGTTGCATCCAGTTCTTTCTTTGATCTGTACAGCAATGAGGCAGTCTACTAACATGCTGCTCAGAAACATTCTTGAGTGAGTGAGGATATGAAAAAAAAGGCCAGAATAGAGTGGGTGGAAAAAAAGTCATGATCTCATTGACTGACCAATAAATGAAGGTAGCAGATTTAAAGCAGAGGGACTTACAAAGGCACTAGGGGAAAGCAATATACATTCTTTCCCATTCCTACACAATTTTATCTATGTATCTGCTATAGAACAGTGCTGGAGGTGGTTTGTGGGAGCTAGATGGACCTTCCACCTACTCCAAAGAATCACATTTCTTTTGCCCCACAATATGCATCATCTTGTTTTAACAGAAAAGTAAACTGTACTTTTTAAACACTGCAATAAAACTCAAAAAAGATCAAAATCTCTAAAGAAAGAAATGCTGCCTCTGTGGATGCTGTTACTAGAGACATGAGAGAATTTATTCAGCACCGTCATTCTGAACCCAAGCATCAGAAAAAAAAAAAATCACTCCCTAAATTCTGCTCCTCATAGACTTCCTTTGCACAGTAACTTAGTCATCCAGTTCATTTCTGCAGATGCATCAACGTATAATTACTGCTAATCTTCAAACCACTAACTGTGGTGGGAGAAAGGACATCACATTTTGACCTGGACTGTACCATGACACTACCTGTAAAATCAGCTCACTCTCCCTTGCAAGAGTTACATACCTCAGGGTCATCAGTGTAGTCAAACATCCTAAAAATAACCCTTGGCATAGGATATACTGAGTCTTCAGTGTGAGGTGGAGGAGTGAATGGCGGCAGATTATGTTGCAGTGCTTCACAAAGAATGCTATCAAAAGCCAGGTAGGGCCTCAGAATGTGTCGTTCTTGCCAACGGTCTTTTTTCAACTTCTGAATCTGAGACCAGAGGCAGTCTAAATACTGAAGGGAGAAACAGTGCAAAACATCAGATGTGCTGAATCTTATAACAAAACTTGCAGCTTACGGTGCAATCAAAAATGTATGTCTTAAATTCAGAAAAACAAAACAAAAAAAAAAGCAAAAACAAAAAAACCCCAATTGCTTATATTACTACTTATGGGATCTAGTGTTTATTAAACCAAGAAATAATTCAAAAACTAAACATCAGAGCTGCTTCAATTTCACTGAACATTCTGTTAACAAAATGTATCTGCTGTTTTTTAAGCAGCAAAAGGCAGACCAGAAATGCATGCATGACAGCCATCCTTTGAACACATCAGCAAGACTACAGTCATTTCAGTCAGTGCTCGCAAGTGATATTAAAAGAGATTTAGTATCTATACTAAAAGTGAAGAGACATTCTGGAGAACCACCATGTTGAAAAGTACCAGCTGCTGCATATTCAAGACAAATGCAATAGTGCCAACAATTAAATATCTTTGCTATGATTTTCAAATTAATTGCAAGCCCCAGCACTCTCTCAGAAACGACACAAACATCTACTTGTACTACTAACAGATACACTCACTTACAGGTCCACTTTGTTTAACTGCTTTCTATGCCCCTGCTAAAAGCAGGTTCAAGAACTCGGGAGGCCACAGACTCTAGCACTCTGCCTGTGGCTTTACTGATGGCATGTTTGGAGGTGAAATACTTTCACAAAGAAATCATTTGCATTACACTATGAAATGGAAAAACATTTTAACAACAAGTGCCTGATACGAAAAGTAACATTTAAGCTCCTAAGCTCCTCTGGAGAACACAAGGAACTTAATTTTTGAATCACACTTTCCAACCAAGTTTGTCCTCAAACTCAGGGGAAGAGGAAGGAAAAAAACAAACCGAAAACAATCAGAGGAGGTAACTCTACACCAAGACAGATGCCACCTTCCCCTGTAGTATGTTTTCTTTAATTGTGAAAGATGACACAGAAGCTGCTGAGTTCAGTTTCTGTACATTTATTTGGCACTTCCTAGTGCTGAGAGAGCAAAGCCACTTCAAAGGTTCCTTCCTTGCAAAGAGAAGACGTTATGGGGTAAGGAATTACACTCTGCTTTTCCCAAAAGTAGCATGAAGCCTTGTATTTCCAGTTCCAAAAATGTTGCCGCAGCTTACAACCATTCTTCATTTAATAACATCTACTCATGGACTTGTTGGCAAACTAGAAAATGCTCTTCTACTCACCCCATAACCTGCTACAACTTAGACAAGAACAACTAAGACTTAGACAAGAACTCCTTACCTAAAACTTGTTTGAAATAATGACAACAGGAGACAATTCACAGCACAAACACTTTCAGAGGTACTTGTTAGTTTTCTAGCTGTTTGAACTGTGCTTCTATCACAACAGTCCTTCAAACTTTCTCAAAGAATATTTTCAAAGATATATTCTATTTTCAAAGAATATAATACAGAAAACACTCACTTCTTCCTGTGGATGTGGTTTATCAGCAGTCCAAACTTGTAACATTGGTACATGTATCTTCTGGCGGCGTCTGTTTACACAGAAAAGAAAACCTAACCCTTAACAGCATTTTTAGTACAATCACAATAAGGAAGAAAAGAAAAAAAAGTACCCTACTACTTAATCTCTTCAGTTGTTGAAGTCTAGTATGCAAAAGAAAAAAAAAAAAAAAAGAATTGTAATTATAATCTCTGTTATCATATCCTGAGAGCAACGTTAACTTGAATCACCTAGACAAAATCTAGTCTCACTGCACAGTAGTAAGGTCACCTTTTGGTATTTGCAGCAGTTACTGCTACAGCTGTCCCAGCACAAGCTGGACAAGACCGTCACCATACCCTAGCACTAGACAATGCAACTAAACTCTTAGAATTATAAAGGTAGATCAGTGTATCTGTCCATTTTTTCAGTGTTCTTCCCCTTCCTCCTCCCCGCCAACAATAAAATGACTCAGACCTAGGACCTGGTATTTTTTAAATGATCACTAATCAAAGTTATTGTTATCCTGAACAAGTATCTAAAAGAATACATTACAACTTACTTCAGATAGCTTTCTGTCTGAGATAAGAGACGATCCATCTCAGCATCCTTTTTCTCATACAATTCCTTTCCAACCCAAGGCAAAGATGACAGAAATGCAAATATGTACCAGTCACACCGTACCTACAGGAAAGAAATATTCTGAGACTTAAGCATACAACTATGCTCCAGAAGATTTTATATATATATATTCCATTTTAACTTAAACCACTGTTTCGTGGTGACACAAAGAGCAGCAGTTAAAGATTGGATAGGCAAGTCATGAACAAAAAACCATATTACTGGTTGAAATGTACAATTTTTAACTTGAACTATGACAATCAGACTTGAAAATAATCACTTTCACAGTCTTTCTGCAGATTATCTTCATATTTTGAGTGTAAACAAAACTGGCAGAACGAGCAAGACACTGTGCAGTTGCCAAGGTAAAGTAAGATTAATTTAGGGTAGATACCTCACCATGGAGGCTCACACTTTCTTACTACACACAAGTGTTTCCTAAATGCCAGGGGCCACTTTCACTCATAACAAGGGACATGCAGATACCAGTCCACCTACGTTGCTCTCTCTAAAACCTTCCTGCGCCAAGCAGAAATATAAAAGGAATGGTAAAGAAATGGTGCCTGTGAAAACAGCCCTGGAGGACCCTGCAGATCTTTGACTTACTTGTGGTACATCTTCTTCCTGTGTCACACTCACAAAGTTCTCAAACATGGCTACCATCGAAGGTGCAGCTATGACATGACAATTCACAAGATCAGACAGAAAACGAACCTAAAAAAGTCCAAAAAAAGTGCTTTCAGTGACCGTATTTTATCTCACTATTGAAGATAAACATTACTTGAATAACTACAACCAAAAGATAGGGGTAATCACTCAGTACTAGGAAGGCAGAAATACTGCACACTGTACAGGTACACCTGGCAACCACAAGGAACAAGTAACATAAGCACAGTCAAACAGTTTGTCCATTAAAATGTCCATAAGGTCAGGCTGTAATAATGGTAACATTACAACTCCTAATGATGACAGGGTAGGAAACAACAATACGCACTCAAAAGCATGCAAACATGTTACAGAACAACAACCACATTTTCTCTCCCCCAAGTGGAAAAAGATCACTAAAATTACAGAAGTGTAAAAAAAAAAAAAGCCTTCTTAAATGATGAAGATAGATTGATTGGTTTCTTCATGAGTCCAGAGGTGAACCAGAAATAGCGGGGTTGAATCTATACACCATTTAGAGTGTTTTAGACAAGATAAATTTCTACAGTTAACTATTTGTAAGTACAGGCAGCTACAGAGAGAGCCTATGCAAAAGCTGACTGCGTTGTCAGGTTTCAGAAAGGTGACAATGATTAGGAATCAGCCTTTGCAATGAAAACATTCCTTCTGGCAGGAATACATCATTGATTTGGAGGCATACTAACAAGAAATCCAGACATAAATGACAACTTAAGTAGAAAATAATTGGAGTACCGCAGTGGTACGCGTTATACTGGGAACTGTTTTCTTCTCTTTTTTCCTCCCTCATCAATCTTTTGATTGCTTTGTACCCTGTTTTGGTGTAAATCAGTTATCGCAGCAATCTCCAGATACAATTAAATTCTAACAATGATAATCTCACTTTTGGTTTTTTTAAGGCTTATTTTTTCTTAAGGGTGCACTCTCCCACGCACACACACACACAAGTCTAAAAAAAAAAAAAAAACAATATGCAAAATACACCAAAAAAGGGCATTTTTTCATGAAGGCCTACCACTGGGAAGAAGCCTTGGGAAAGAAAATTTGAGCCAAGCACAATGCAGTGCTCAAAGAGCACTTTCCTAATATTAATTGCAAAGAACACCCTTTGACGTGTCTCTGACAGAGCTGAGAATAGCCTTCCACTGCCACCCTCTTAATTGTCATTGTCTCACAAATTGTTTGTGAGTGAGCACAACCAGCAAAACACAACCGGTGAAGGTGAAGCTGAAGACAAAGGACACTGCCTTCAATGGTGTAATGAAAACTTTATTACCAAAGAGGTCCCACTGCCAAACAGCAGCCTCTTGACAAGGTGCACTGTTATACTAGAAATTTAATTTTCACCTATGGGCTTTGAAAGAAGCAGGGTAGCTTGCAACTTCTTCCTTATGAGACCTCCAAAGTGAGAGCTCTCAGTGAGAGCTGAGCAAGTGGTTTCAGAGAAAGCACTAAAAACTGTCTGCTTGATGACTGCTCCTCTTTGGGAGACAGATAACACAGGCCTGGTAGCAGTTATGAAACACTGCTTTTAAGACTGAGTCTTTTTTTTTCCCCCCCTTCATGGGAGCCAAAAGAGCAACATATGCAAAATAACAAAGCAAAGCATGAGTTTCATCCACTTTTTATATTTTGCTGCAGAAAAGGTTGGCAAGGGTAGAATGACCTCCCTTGGCTGCAAGTGAATTTGCAACTGAGGAAATACACATTTGGAACACAATTTGCAACTGTGACATGATTTTTCTCCCCTTGGGAAGGAAGTACTACTCACGTAACATACGTTTTCTCTCAGTATATCTACACAACATCACACGTTGATGAAATGTAAAGACTGTAATACATGTAGAAAGGCCATGCTCTCATGGAATTAAGAAAGGTGAAAGGGAGGAGAGAAAAAAGGTGAGAGAAACATCTAACACAAAGAGACACTTACTAAATGCACAGCTTCATTGTACATATTGACTTTCAGACATTCTTTAAGCTGACGAATCATGGCTTCTACAAATTCCCCACCAAAGTTGTAGTTCCTGGCATTCAGCAACCCAACTAGTGTTGTGTAAACAGTAAGCTTTTCTGGTAACAGACGTGCACTGACACAGAAAGAGAAACACGGTGTTAGCACTTATTCATCATAAGCCAGCTGGCAACAGCATAGCAGCTCAGAACTTGCCTATAGTAAGTTAAACTTGTTTCATGTGGAAGTAACAAAAAGTGTTAGCATGATGTAGTTGTGTCCCATGGTTAATACTTTACTTTACAGACTTTTTTGTTTTTCCAATGGGGGGGGGGGGAGGGGGGGGAATTACATTTAGGAAAGCAGATGTCACTTGCAAGTACATTTAAGTTATTTTCTTTTTATTTATCTCCAATTGTGAAGTGTTCTGGAGGCCTGGCCAAACAATGTGATAGAATTTATTCAAAGATTTAAAATACTCTTTTAAATTCATAATTTAGACGTAAACATTAAGACTACACAAGATCTACACGTTTTACACTGTTAAGTTTGATCCTAAGCTTCTTGAGTCAGAACAACTGATTTATAGAGATGATATGGGGAAAAAAGACAAAATGCTGGGTCCTACTGTAAACAGTTTTCCTCAGTCTCTTTTGTACATCTGTAGACTACCTCCATATTTGCAAATAGGAAATTTGCCATAGGAAAAAATGACATTATTATATCAACAAACATTCCTAGCAAACATATTTAAAACACGTGCAATGCTATAACACAAGCTGCTGGAAAATTTTCCCTCTCCACTTCCTTCACGCTGCTCTCCTGCACTGAGGCAGCCCCCTCCACAAGCCAATCCTCACACAGGGCTCCTCAGCTCCTGCTGCTCACTAGGGAGTGAACAGAGCACTGCCAGCAGCCCCCCTGTGTTCCCAAGGATGGGCTCATTAATCAGGAGCACTGCATGGCCAGAGCAGAGAAGTAGGCCACAGGAAGGCATCACGGGCAATAGGTATTGGCAGCCTACAGCTTCAATACCTTCATTTCTTTGGGAAGCAGGTGCTATCCAGCATTCTGCTTTTGTTGCTGCTGAGGAACAGTGCAGATTCTCTTCTGCTTGAAGCCCTGTATACATTTTATGTTAATGTACTGCAAGAAAATATCTTCCTTAAATTATCCTCAAAAGTATATTTCCTCTGTTTGTAGGGAAGCCAATTCGATATGGTAACAGCAGCCAAGGACTAAAAGCCACCACAAATGCTCAAGTTGCCTTAAACACTTCAAATTACACACCCAACACAAAGATAGCGAGCACCCCTCAGTCCCCTCCGTTCTTCTGCATACGTACACAGTACACAGAATTCTTAGTATCTTGCTTTTGTAATTTGGTAGATCAGCTTCCAATACACCAGCTAGGCCCTCCAAGTTGCTCTCCAGGGATGAATTGCTCTACAGAAATCCAAAAAAAAAAAAAAAAAAGAACAGAAAAAAAGATAGTATTCCAACCTCAACCAAACAAAATGAAGCCTCACAGAGAAACCACAGAATGAGAGCATCACCCAGGTCAGCCCGTGCTGAGCTCAGCTCTCCCCACAGCTCCCTATAGGGCAGACGATCCCAGCCACCTGATCCCCCGCCCTCCTCATGGCGGGGTTTCGGATGCAGCGAATCCCCAGCCCTAGGACCCTCCCAGCCGTTCGGGAAGCGCAGACGGCGCACAACGCAGCAACCTCTCCCGCTGGGGATCCCGCAGCGCCCACAGAACACAGCAATGCGGCCGAAGACTGCTCCAGCATCAGCCCCGAGACGGGCGCTTTCCGCCCCGCCACCACGCGGCCGCCGCTCCTACCTTCTCCCCTACTCTGCAGATGAGCGACTCGAGCCTCTCCTCGATCTCCGACGGCTCCGACGTCCTCCGCCGCTTGTGAGGCTGCCCTGCTCCGACACACCAAGCACACCGTTACCGCCCCGCCGCTCATTCGCCTCCCACCTGTCCCGTCCCGTCTCGTCCCGCCCGGCCGCCCACCGCAGCCCGTACCGCTCAGGGCTAGGTAGGGAGAAGGGCTAGGTATGGAGAAGCGCCGGCTCGGCCAGCACTCACCATCGCTGTCATCGCTATCGTCGCTGTGCCGCCGCCGCGACATGGTGCCGGACGAGAAGCGAAGGCCGGACGAGAAGCGAGGAGAGAAGCGAGGACCGGGCCGCGCCGCACCGCGCGGGACTAAGACGGCCGCGCGGGACTAAGACGACCGCGCTCCTTCCCCGCCCGCTTCCGGCGGCCTTGCTCCACTTCCGGTTCCGTTTTCTTTTGGGCACCACTTCCGGGGTGTGGCCAGCGGCGGGAGATGGCGCCGGGCGAGGCGCAGCCCGAGCCGAGAGCTGTTCCTCGGGGCGGTGCTGGGCCTCAGGCGGCCGCCGCTAGGAAGCAGCGCGCCTCCGCCCGCAGGAAGGTACGTAGGGGGCGGGTACGGGGCGACGGGCCAGTGCCGCCCGCGGTAACGGCCCTGCCTTGCAGGCGTTCTCCCTGTTCGTCAAGGCGAAAGAGGTGCCGGCCGCCTCTCCGGGCGGCGGGGCGGCCGTGTGGTGGAGGTGCTGCCGGCAGACGTTCCGCGAGCGCCGCGGCATCCATCGACACGTCGGTACGCAGCACGGCGGGGATGTCGAACGGCAGGCGACCGCGACCGGACCCGCTGGCAGGGCGGTGTCCGCTGAGCGGGCGGGAGGATGGGACAGCGGAGAGCTCTGTGAGGCGCTGCCCGACACAAGCGGCCTCCGCCGTGAGGAGCTGACCAGGTAAGGCTGGCGTGGCAGGCACCTGCCGGTACCGCCTTTCTATGGGAGTGCTGGTTCTCCAGAGGAGGCCAGAAAGATGATCAGGGGATTGGAGCACCTCTTCTACAAGGACAGGCTGAGGGAGCTGGGCTTGTTCAGCCTGGAGAAAAGAAGGCTGCGAGGTGAGCTCATTGCAGCCTTTCAGGACCTAAAGGGAGCCTACAGATTGGAGGAGAATCAACTCTTTGAAACAGTAGATAGCAACAGGACAAGGCGAAATGGTTTGAAGTTGAGGGAGGGAAGATTTCAGTTGGATGTCAGGGGGAAGTTCTTTACGGAGAGAGTGGTGAGGTGCTGGAACAGCTGCCCAGAGAGACTGTGGATGCTCCTTCCATTCCTGGAGGTGTTCAGGGTCAGGTTGGATGGAGCTCTGGGCAGCCTGGGCTGCTATGAAATGTGGAAGTTGGTGGCCTTGCATGTGGCAGGGGAGTTGGAGGTTCATGACCTTCAAGGTCCCTTCCAACTCAGGCACTCTGTGATTCTATGATGCTCAGCCTGCAGAAAGTTTGCTGGCAGCCCTTGAGATTATCAGGGGCCTTCACAGAATTACAGAGTCACCAAGTTTGGAAAAGACCTCCAGGATCATCCACTCCAACCATCCACCTATCACGAATAGTACTCACTAAACCATGTCCTTCAACACAAAATCCAAATGTTGCTCGAACGCCGTCAAGGTTGGTGACTCCACAACCTCCTTGGGCAGCCCATTCCTTCTTTCCTTTCCTGCTTCCTTGAATCGGGAGTTGTAGACTCTCTCGAGGAGTCACTTGGTTTATTTGAGCTCTCTTGAATCCCATGTGAAACATGATTCCTGATGCCGAAATGATATTTCCTTTTTCGATGGAAGCTCTGGAGAAGCAGGCAGTCACAGGTATGCCTTGCTAAAACAGCTCAGTGCTATTTGACATCTGGGGTTTGTGAAGAAGAGCAGCAGTAGGAAGCAGGAGAACAGCACAGTTTGCTCTGTGTACAAGTATGCACTCTTGCTTTCCATTTTGCTACAGGAATCTGAAAATAGGTTCATTTTTTTTGTATATTTGTGATTCTGTTGTTAGTGAAAATAAATACATGACCTGCGAGTTTTCAAATAGAATGCACAGAGCTGCAGTGAGATGTTCAACTCAAAAATCTAACCATGTATTTACCAGACATTTATGAGCCCCCTCTTAGCGCAGAGAAATATCCCTCTCTTCAGTCACACTTTATTCATGTCATGACTTTTTGGCAGTTTGCACAGTTGTGAATGGCTGTTTTCAAGGAGGAAGCACAGGAAGAGTCTCTAATGAACACTTTGATAGCTCACCAAGAATTGCAGACACTGCCATTGAACAAGTTTGATGTGCTGGTTTCACAAAAGCAAGTGTCCCACTAGTTTTATGTTTTGATGCTCTTTTTTATGCTTTAACAACAACAACAAAAAAAGGAGAAAATCATCTGCTTTTTAAAGGGTTAATGCTAATAATGTATTTTTGTGTTTCAACTCTAACATCCTTTTCCTATTTGTTCATCTTTGCTATGTTCTGGGCAGCAAGGTGGGAGAAGTACTTCTGTATTACTGCTACTGTGAGGTGAAGGATCCAGAGAAACTCTGTGCTTGGCAAAAGGCTCTGTGCCAGCATCTGCATCTCACTGGCAAGGTAACGTTTTAGGCAACAGTCATATTCCTTACAGAAAAGCATACTCTTTGTTTACTCCAGAATGATGTGGCTTGTGAAGCAGCAAGTGTTCTATACCAAGCTGCAGCGCACACAGAGTGGGGTCTGCTAGGTGTGTCACTACCAAGTGCAGTGGTTAGGGTCATGGCACCAAGTTGTAAATTCAGAATTGTCAAGAATGAGAAGAGAACAACTGGCAACTTTGGTCACACCATACCATAGCAGTGCTTGTTCTTGAGTGGTATCTTTGTTTATTTTGAATCATGAGAACATCGTTTCCGTGTTATGCGAAAGACTGTTCTCATAATGTGAGCGGATACAAGCTGAAGGACAGAAGGCTTGCATAAGTGTAAGCTCAAGTTCAAAATGCGGAGACTGTGAAACTTGCGGTCAAGCGAAGATAAGAAAGCGGAATAGAGTTGTCCTGTTGTTGAAGTTAACATGGCAAAACATATGCTTCAGCTCAATGTAACATCCTGTTTGGTCTACCCCACTTAAAAGGTTGGAAATGTACAGCAAGAATGACTATTTGGCTTCATCTCACAGCCACCAGAGGTGTTAATTATTTATTGGACTTTTGTAGAATCACAGAATGGCCTGGATTGAAAAGGCCCAGCCGTGAGCAGGGTCGCCAGCCACCAGACCAGGCTGCCAAGAGCCACATCCAGCCTGGCCTTGGATGCCTCCAGGAATGGGGCATCCCTGACCTCCTTGGGCAACCTGTTCCAGTGTGTCACCACCCTCTGGGTGAAAAACTTCCTCCTAATATCTAATCTAAACCTCTCAGTTTAAAACCATTCCCCCTTGTCCTATCACCATCCACCCTCTCAAACAGCCATTCCCCCTCCTGTTTATACGCTCCCTTCAAGTACTGGATGGCCACAATGAAATCTCCCTGGAGCCTTCTTTTTTCCAAGCTAGACAAGCTCAGTTCCCTCAACCTTTCTTCATAGGAGAGGTTCTCCAGCCCTCTGATCATCTTAGTGGCCATCCTCTGGACCCACTCCAAGAGTTCGATGTCTTTCTTTTGGTGGAGGCCCCAGGCCTGGATGCAGCGTTCCAGATGGGGCCTCACAAAAGCTGAGTAGGAGGGGATTTCTGCTCACGTCCTTGAAATGTAATAAATATGTTTACACTATACCCTTAAATATGGAGTCTCTGCCTCTCTCAGTGTGCATGTTGATGGAGTGATCCCCCATGCACTCAATGCTGTAATAAAGGGAGTACTTGCTTGACGTAACTCATTGGCATGTCAAGTTACTTTGTCAGTTTTCTTGGCTTCAATTTCATTTAATGGAGAGCACGACAGCAGACCACTTGGTTCATCTAGCTGGCTACTGGAGGTTATGGGCAGAGGCAAATTTGGGGTTCAAAAGCTGGTGTTCCTAAGGAAGGAAGACTTTTTTTCAAGAGGGCAGCTCAGAGCAGGACACTACTGTGATATTTGACTTGTCTTTCTGAATAGCTTTTCTTTCTATGCCATTATTAGGAGACCAGCCTCTGCACCCAGAGATAAGCCGTATTAGGTTTAAGTGCATTACTGCTGCTGGCAGATATCTCTTTCTAATTGGTTTGGATATCTGGTGCATATCTGTCCCATTTACTCTTCTTTAGATATTATTTTTCTTCTTCTTTTTTTTTTTCCCCTCTGATGTCTCCTGTGTTATTCGTTTGTTTTCTTATTTTTAGTCCTTTACTTCCTGCTATGGATTTTTTTTTTTTTAACTTGTGAATATTCATGTCAGTTCCTTGTGTCTTAGCTACATAGAAATGGTTGTGTGAACAGTGTCAGGGTATTCTAACTGAGCTAACAGATTTGCATCCTGCCTAATGTTTTTCTCAGAGCTGGTGCTGTTTAAAGCAGTATGGATTCAATGCTCTACATTCTACAGACCCAACCTTCCTTACTCAGAAGGAATGAAAAGAAGGCATCTTCCTTATTCTACATCTGCAGAGTCTAGGGGTGAAATGTCCTGATGCACTAACTTCTTTTCTTTGGCTCAGTATCTTGTCTGGTGATTAGATACGGGAGGAGGAAGGTGCCCCTTTTTTTTTCCCCCTTTCCAAATTGGTTCAGCAGTTGCCTTTTCAAATGCTTTTTTTCTCTCTCGTATTCAGTCTTTTTTTTTTCTTTTTTTCTTTAACTCCACCTCAGAAGTTTTCATTTGTGTCAGTGGTGTAGGTAAAATGACTCATGCTGACATTTAGTATTGCATGCTGTATTATACATTCTCACATTTTTCTTTCAGCTATCTGAGTCGTTGAGCACAATCCCACTGCTCTTCTTGAAGCAGAATTTCAGTAGGAATTTGAATGCTGACTGCAGTGTTTGCTTGTTAATCATAGAATTGCTCAGGTTGGAAAAGACCCTCAAGATCGAATCCAACCACAACCAAACCACTCTACCCTAACTCTAACAATCCTCTGCTAAGTCATGTCCCTGAGCACCACATCCAAATGGTTTTTTAACATATCCAAAGATGGTGACTCAACCACCTCCCTGGGCAGCCCATTCCAGTGCTTAACAACCCTTTCTGTAAATAAGTGTCTCCTGATATCCAGCCTAAACTTACACTGGCACAACTTGAGGCCATTTCCCCTTGTCCTGTCATCAGTGAGAAGAGACCAGCCCTGCTCTGCTGTAAGCACCTTTCAGATATTGGAAGGGAGCAATAAGGTCTCCTCTCAGCCTCTTCTTCCCCAGACTGAACATCCCCAGTTCCCTCAGTCTCTCCTCAAAGGGCATATTTTCCAAGCCCTTCCCCAGCCTTGTTGCCCTTCTT